ATATATAAATTTACTCGACAGTTATTGACCAGTCAAATTTTGTAAAATTCAAAAATGAGAGGAATTCAATGAGCGCATTGACAATTTTTGAAAGTTCAGACGCATGGATCCTCCATCCTAATTGCACGAAAATCAACGAGCTTTTTCAACACAACCCTCAAGAAAACGAACACGAACGAATGTTGAAATGCGGCCGAAATTACGACAATACATGTGCAAACAAATTCATTCTCCGCTACGGATTTTTCTCCGTATCACAGCATTCACCGCTACAATATTTTTGCTCGCTGAAGGAAGCACGTGCTGTCGAGGTAATTAGAGGCAGAAGTGTAACTAATCGATCGAAGCTTTCAAGGGATGGGCCAGGAAAATGTTGCAGATATACGCGCAGGAGAAAAACATGAGTTCAGATCCCACTGACGCCTTCCAAGAACTTGCAACGTAGCCTTTGTACAATCCTTTGAATCCCTTTCATTCGACCATTTTTCGTACGCAGTCGACAAGATCGTCGTATTGTCGCCGCTGTGAAATGACAAACGTTTCACGACGTTATCGAAAGTTTAGCGCAGAACTCGATATTAATAAGAAACGGAAGCTTCGATAGAAACTTTTTACACAGTAAAAAAAATTTTCACGCACTCGAAAGTCTTACAAATGGAATGCTTCGAGGGCTGTTTTTGTTCGCTGAACGCGGGGGAAATTTGATATGTCATTCCACACAAAAGCTCGAAAATCACGAACTAGAGAACTATGTATATTTTTATGATCTCCAAAAATGAATTTTCTGATTTTTCATAAGTGCCGCTTTCTCAAAAAGAATTTTGCGTCCAACGTGACGATGCGGGAACTTGCCCTCAAAGCTTTCTGCAGAGTCATTTTCCTTGAAAAAACTTATCATTTGCGACTTATTCGAAGTCGCAAATGAAAAAAAGAGGATGAGCACCAAGAATTTCGCCCTTACTTCCTCGTTGAAAAAAAAATTATATTCTGGCAGCTGAAGAAAAAAATGACCGTAATACTCAAATCACGAGTAGCGTCTGATTTCCATGCAAAGTTCAGGAACAAAAATTTACCACTGGTTGTTGAAATGTTTATCTGGATGGAAAAACGAATTGATCTCGAGACCTTTCTCGAATCATTCAGTGAAAAATTTCAACATTTCATGTTTCATCAATGTTAATTATCGCACCTTTCCTTCCTCAAACTGTAAATTGATGTTTCAAATCGTCAGGAAGCTACTATGTCCCTTGTTTTTTTTCAACAAGGAGATAAGTTCTTTTTCTGTCGTTCTAAAGGCACATTACCAAAAATAGATGAAGGTTAACTCCATGCATCAGCAACCCATTAACTCTTCCGGATTACTCACCTGAAACCGGATTACTCACCTGAAACCGGATCTTGAGAACATCAATAGGCTGAATCAAGAATCGCGTCACGAAGCCGCTGCTGGCCCCAGCCAGTCCTTATTCGAAGCCGGAGGTGCGACGACTTGCATCATCTCCCCTCAGCATAACATACACTCGACCACGCCAATAAAAACATTACGAAGAATCCTAGACGAAAAGTAGCAAAAAGAGACGGCGGCAAAAACGTGGCTCCATCTCAATTTGAATGCATAAATATAAAACCCGAGCACTCGAAAAAAAAATGGTGAACTACTACGTACCACAAGTACAGGAAAGCGACAAAACTTATGGAACACTCAGGAAGTTGTGCATGAACAATAGCCTGTCTTCGAAGCAGTAAAATCCAGAAAACGCCTTAATTAGAAGACAGTTTTCGGTTGCATTCTACCGCTACCACCGCTTTTCTTAATTAGATCTTAAATTTATTTTGATCCCAGGGACACGGGAAAATGTTCGAAGAAAATTTGGTCACAGTTTTCAGGTACCAGAATACTTTTTTTTTTAACTGCACGGAGGTAAACATCTAAATATAAGCCCACTTAAAAGTTAAGTTCCACGATGATATTTTCGTCTCATTCAAATTATATAATATAAATGGCAAAAGTGGGAAACAAATGTTGAAAAAATTCAAGAAAATGCCTCTCGGAGCTTTTGAACCGATTACAGTATGACGCTCTGTTTGTGAACTATCCACGTTTGCGAAAATAAAACGATTTTCAGTAGCTTCACTGATTCCACGAACGAAAAAAAAAGCGGGACAGAAGCTCGGAGATGAATGATGACGCTAAAAAATTACAGCGGGTCAATATTTCATTAATTCATGAAAAGCACGCATCGAGGGAAGAGAAAAATCTATTGCCTCGACATCAAAAAAACCCATTCCGGCACAAGTTTTTCAAACTACCCGGATCCACTCGACAAGACATCCGGTCACGACGAAGGCGTGAAAGCTGGGTTGAAATTCACGGCATTGATCCTCGGCCGATCGTCTTCTTCCTCTCCTTCTTTGCCATCTTCTAACCGCTTACGACCCTCGGGATCATCCATAGCAATCACAGCACCGACCGGCGAACGAGACTTGAACACCACGGGAACTTCCCCGAGGCGGGGGTTCGTTCGTTGCAGGAGACGAATCCAAGAGAGTAACGAGTCCCGACTGGACGTGCCGGTTGCGCATGCCGCGAGAATCACGCCGTCGGCTTGCTCGTGAACCGACGGAGTCAGTGCTTTCACCGGCAACAAATCCTTCTCGCGTTTGAAGGCCACGGAAACGTGGCTGATATCTGAAAAAACGATCCAGTTTCTCGAATGGAAAGACCCTCTCTTTTTAACACCACGTCACCCATCGACCAAACTTCGGAATTTCAACGACTATTCCGAGAAGTTCACTTACAGTAAAAATAAAGTACTGTTTAGTCCCGAATGGCGGGTGTAAAAGGGGCTTGAACCTTGTCCCTGTGTCCGAATGTCGAATCACTTTTTACCATAGACTTTAATTGGAATATTTTTAGTTGGTTGCCCTGTTCATCAAAAATTAGGATTGAAGTCCCAAAAA